TTTTAATTGTGTTTATAACCTAGTTTCACAAATCCAGTTCCGTTTTTTGAACTTGTTGCTGGGCAGCGTGGTGGTATTCGCAGTGAATGTTACCTATAAATCCTTGTTCATACTTTCAAGAAGTGTATTCCGAGACATCCTGACCAATCAGGCAGAATCAATGTTGAACATATAATCAATAAGGAAACATCAGTGGTAAATCAGTCACATCTCTTCACTCGCCGTCTTCCATAGCAGGGCCCATTCTGATCCAGCTTTGACCGTCACCTCATGCCGAGTTCAATCCCCTCATATGTCTCTGATACAGATTTCCAGGGTGATTCGTACCCCCCGAGGTAACTCTCTCCTTGTCGGCGTGGGTGGTTCTGGTAAACAGAGCCTGACCAAGATAGCCTCCTTCATAGCCGGTTACAAGACCTTCCAGATAACCCTGACGAGGTAAGCCCATACAACACCTGTTTGCATACTGGTTGAGGTTGACGAATGTTCATTTTCATGTTATATTGGAGTATCAGTATACGAGTTGTAATTCAGCAGCCCCTGGAACAAAATAAATGTCCATTTTTCTCGTTTTTAATTGAGATCAAGATCAAGGTACTAACATCGAATGAAAGACACCCACACCGTTTTGTATTGAGCTCAATAGAGATTGTTATTTATTCAGATGCCCAAAGTATCCGCTGACACACTGCATTTCGGTATTAGCACACACTCCTTTCATGTGGAGATGTTAAGATAGATATAGTTTTTGTTTTGTTAACTTCCAAGATCATACAACCAGTCCAACCTCATGGAAGACTTGAAGGTTCTGTACCGAACTGCTGGTCAGCAAGGCAAGGGAATTACCTTCATCTTCACAGACAATGAGATCAAAGAGGAAAGTTTCCTGGAGTATCTCAACAATGTCCTGTCCTCAGGAGAGGTGAGTAGATCTTTGGTGTCCTCAGTAACCGTGAAAATTACAGTGAGGTATTCTTGGAATATCTCAGCAACGTGCTGTCCTCAGGAGAGGTGAGTGGATCTTTGGTGTCCTCAGTAACCGTGAAAATTACAACGTGCTGTCCTCAGGAGAGGTGAGTGGATCTTTGGTGTCCTCAGTAATCGTGAAAATTACAGTGAGATATTCTTGGAAAATCTCAGCAATGTGCTGTCCTCAGGAGAGGTGAGTGGATCTTTGGTGTCCTCAGTAACCTTGAAAATTACAGTGAGGTATTCTTGGAATATCTCAGCAATGTGCTGTCGTCAGGAGAGGTGAGTGGATCTATAGTGTCCTCAGTAACCATGAAAATTTCAGTGAGATATTCTTGGAATATCTCAGCAACGTGCTGTCCTCAGGAGAAGTGAGTGGATCTTTGGTGTCCTCAGTAACCGTGAGAATTACAGTGAGATATTCTTGGAATATCTCAGCAACGTGCTGTCCTCAGGAGAGGTGAGTGGATCTTTGGTGTCCTCAGTAATCGTGAAAATTACAGTGAGATATTCTTGGAATATCTCAGCAACGTGCTGTCCTCAGGAAGTAAAGTGGAGAATAGCTGTACTTAATGGAATATCTGACAACAATCACGTTGACAGAATAAAGAGTGTGGCAAACAGAAGAACTTTGTTAAACTAGAGTATCATTTACAACAGTGCTCACAGAGAAATTCTGTGCAACCTCTGTAAGCAGAGGAACCTTGCTAACAGCAGAGTTATGCCTGCAAGCCAGAATTTCTTGCTAACTTGGGAAACACTGGTGCTGTTAGCGCAGTCCAGCTCTCCTAAGTCAGCAGTTGTCTTTAACTGCACCTGCAACATTAGTTGATCACCTGCACATGAATAAGATGGTCACACTACGTGCACACAACCATGGCAGTGGCGGGCTGTACTCTACTGGAAGAGGGGGGGAAGTTTATGCTGGAGTTTGCAAAGATTGTTCACTTATGATCAACCGAGGAAATTGGGCCCTACCATTATTAGGAGCTGTTAAGGACAAACAGTCATGATGGTGTTGTTTTTATCTTCCCTTCAACAGGTGTCCAACCTCTTTGCCCGTGACGAGATCGATGAAATCCAACAAGAGTTGATCCCCATCATGAAGAAGGAATACCCTCGCCGACCACCAACCACCGAGAACCTGTATGATTACTTCATCACTCGCTCCAGGCAGAACCTCCACGTTGTTCTCTGCTTCTCACCTGTAAGCTGGCTTGACTTTTGAGTAACTTTATAATTGGAACACTTTTCTTTGTGAATTTAGCACTAGGTCAATCTGTGTTAATGTTATTTCTCAATAAACTAGTAAATGGATCTAATGTACTGTAATAATTGATGCTTTAACAACTTTCTGAATGGCAGAATTTAGCATCAGAGAACAGACATGGCTTAAATGTTGCAAGAAAATTTGGCATGGTGAAAATCAGTGCTCATGTTTTGAAGATTAGCAGTGTAAATCTCATTGGTAAAAATTTAAGCTTTGCCAATGGATATGGATGGCATTGCAAAGATTTACTCTTCAAAGTGTAAAATAGCGTACCAGAAAGTAAAAATTAGATTTTTCTAACTTCAAAATTTCCTGCTTAATGGTTGACTGTAGTTAAGAATGTCCAACTTTTCACGTATCAACCACAGGTTGGAGAGAAATTCCGGAACCGTGCTTTGAAGTTCCCAGGTCTTATCTCGGGCTGTACCATTGACTGGTTCAGCCGTTGGCCCAAGGATGCCCTGATCGCCGTGGCTGATCACTTCCTGGCGTCCTTCGACATCTCGTGCACCGATCCCGTCAAAAAGCAGCTGGTGCAGGCCATGGGGTCCATCCAGGATGGTGTAGCCGAGTCCTGTGTGGAGTACTTTGAGAGGTATGGCAAGATGAACGGTGAAGTTTGCATTTGACAAGTTCTTGTAGCACCTGAAGTTTTGCCCGGTGGGCAGTCCAATAAACCATAGAGTTTGTGGTAGCACCTAAGGCTCTGTATTGGTTTTGAGATGTCTTGTTCTTAGAACATGCTAACTGATTTAACTTTAGGCTACGAAGGTAAATTTTGCTTTGAATGGTGTTAGTGGGATCAGCTTGTTTAATTATCTTTCAACAAAGCATTGAAGTGACGCTGGAAGTGGTTGCCGTAGCAGCTTTTAAGTTTGTTTTCAAGCTTTTGTTTAGTAAAAGGATTGTGAAGGAGGCTATGGTGGAAATTGATGGGAATTTTACTTCTCTACAGAGTGGCAAAACCTGAAATATAGCTGTAGCTTGTAACTTGATTTTCTAAGCAGCTGTGTAGGTCTGTAGTCGTAATCTGATCTCTTCCAATCTGTAGATTCCGTCGAGCGACCCACGTGACCCCCAAGTCCTACCTGTCCTTCATTGCCGGCTACAAGGACATCTACTCCCTGAAGTTTGGCGAGATTAATGAGCTGTCCAACCGGATGACCACTGGGCTGGACAAGCTGGTGGAAGCATCTCAGTCAGTGGCTGAGCTGAGCAAAGAGCTGGCCGTCAAAGAGAAGGAGCTGGCCGTCGCTTCCAAAGAAGCAGAAGCGGTGTGTAATGCCCGTTTGGATTTAATGAAATTCTCTTGTTTGCCGAGCGCATCTTGAGGAGTGGAAAGGCCTCTGAAGGCCTATTGATACTTATCATAAAAGCTAATTGGAATTCACAGTTGCTCCTGTGGCAAATGATTCTGCTATGAAACGTTGAGCCCATTTCAACAATTACACTGCCACTGTGCTACAACATCAAGTTTAATGTCTTAGAGGGAGGTCTAAATGTCGATGGACACCCTGAAGGTCATTTTGGACACCACGTTTTGTGACAGAAACAAGTGTAAAAGCAAACAAACTCAGCAGCTTGGCTGCCGTTTTCTTACAAGACAAATGTGTGAATACTTTGTTTTCAAGTGCGTATTAAAACACCGGTCAGATTTGCACTGGCTTTCTCTTTCATGTCGAGTAAGAGTGACTGTTTATACAGGAATACCAAATCGCTGATAGTTCCTTTTCTTCAGCCATTCGGAAGCTCCTCTTTGAATAGGTTTTGCTTCTCTTCTGAATGTTAGGTTTTGTCGGCTGTGACTCAGAAGGCGCAGGCTGCTGAAAAGGTCAAGGCCCAGGTGCAAAAGGTCAAGGACAAAGCCCAGGCTATTGTGGATGAGATCAATGTAAGTGCAACCTTTGACCCATGACCTGTGACACTTAAAACGTGAGAGTTATTCACTTGCATGTTATTACTCTGAATGGTTTACCCTGCGACTGGGTTAAATTTTCCTTTTAAGATGATTGGGGAATATTCTTATTGTATTTGAACAGTTTGTTTTAAATCTCACTTACAATTGCCAAAATTTCTTTATGAGTTTTATAAATTTACTGCTACAGTAAAAAAAATAAAACTGTTGAAATGCTTTTTCCATACTGTGGATACAGATTTGTTTGGCCCATGTTATACAAATTAAAAAACTTTAATCCTTTCTGACTAGAGATGTCACATACATGGTTTCATTGTAAAACGTCTTCATATTCTAATAATGTGTCTTAATTTAACCCCAAATTATGTATTTTTGATCAGAAACTTTCCCCAATTATTTAAAACTCATCTCTGAAATATTCTGAAATGAATTTCTGTAATTCCGTTCCGTATTCTGAAATGCTCAAAATCCTGCAGAATCGCCCGAAAAAAGCTTGGCAAACTTTGAAGGATCTAAACAGTCAGGGCTCTTGAGGAAAGCAAAACCATGCATTTAAATGGTAACCATATTTGTGTCTGTACAACAGGCAGACAAGGCAGTAGCCTTGACTAAGCTGGAGGCCGCCAAGCCGGCCCTGGAGGAAGCAGAGGCGGCACTCAACACCATCAAGCCGGCCGACATCGCCACCGTCCGTAAGCTGGGCAAGCCGCCCTCGCTCATCCAGCGCATCATGGACTGTGTGCTGCTTCTCTTCCAGGTCAAACTGGAACCCACGTCGCTTGACCCTGACAGGCCCAGCCCAAAGGCTTCCTGGAGTCACTCACTCAAGGTAAGTGGTGTTGTGGGGTTTATGAAAGCGTTGGCCTAATATCTTTTTCAGTGCATAGGTAACCCCCTCACCTAGAAAGTCGTGTGCGATACTTTGCATTGATGCTGTTTTTTTCTTCTGTAATGAGACATGCAATGGGGCTGTCATTTGAGATGTGATGGGCCCTGTTTCACTCTTGATATTCATGTTTCACCGTCATTTGACAAAGCCATATTACATCGTTTTTGGAAGGGTGTTATTTAATAATGTGGAGTTCTTTGAAAGACAGCTTTCCAGAGGTTTCCAAAATAACAAGTCACACCTGTTGTTTTACAGCTGATGGGTGGGTCAGGATTCTTAGGTAATCTCCTGAAGTTTCCAAAGGACACCATCAATGAGGAGACTGTGGAACTATTGGCACCGTACCTGGATTCCGAGGATTACAACCTGGAAACTGCCAAAAAGGTAAGAAGGAAACATCGTGTTGTAACTTTTATGAGCTAATTTGATGCCTTCACAAGTCTGTTCCTGGCTTTCTCATCCTTCCTGCTTGTATTTTTTTCTTTTATAGAGGTAAAATATGCTTGCTTATCCATTTGATTCCTGAAAACATAGTTTTGTTCTGCTTCAAATAAACAAATGTGATACTGGTGGTCTTGCCATGATTTCTTGGTAGGTGTGCGGAAATGTTGCCGGTTTGTGCTCCTGGACCAAAGCCATGGCGTTCTTCTACGGCATCAATAAGGAAGTGCTTCCGCTCAAGGTAAAAACCGTTTTCTCCAAATTCTGCCAACTCCGCCAATTGTCCACTGAGAAAAGCATGGACTAGTGTATTGGTCAGTGAAGTGTCTTCTCTATGATGTTACCCTGCACAACTCATTGTGTTCCTTGATTGTCTGTCACTAGGCCAATCTGGCTGTCCAAGAGGCTCGCCTGGAGGTGGCCAATAAGGACCTGGCAAAGGCCCAGGCCCAACTGGACGAGAAGCAGAAAGAGCTGGACGCAGCCCAGGCGGAGTACGATGCTGCCATGAAGAAGAAACAGGTAGGGGAAAACTCAGTCCCTGGTTGGATCTTTGACTCAAGAGCTTCTGCTGTCCTCTTCTGTTCTTTGCTGAACTTGCTCTAGCTGTGGAGTGCTGCAGCACCGATTGGTCGAGGAAGCTGCATACTGACAGATCTTGATAAAAGCGCTGCATTCATGGTCAATATTCATTTGTATGATGCGCAGAATTCTCTATTGTCAATTCTGTGGTTGAAGAAATGAATGTTCACATGTACCAACAGCATTGGTGTTTCTGCATATTGCTCAACAACCTTATGACTGCATTTTAATGTTATTATTATAAATTCATCTGATAAAGCTTTTTAATCTGCTTGTATTTCTGTCTCATTTCAAAATGTTCCTCAGGACCTTCTGGATGATGCAGAGACGTGCCGACGGAAGATGAACTCTGCCTCAGCTCTGATCAACGGCCTGGGCGGTGAGAAGGAACGGTGGACGCAGCAAAACAAGGAATTCAAAGCGGCCATTGGAAGGTCAGTTCAAGCGGGCTGAAAACCAGGATCCGGTTTCAGGGAGCTGTGACTCTGAAAATGGCTAAACACGGAAAATACTTGCTTAGCAGACTTGTCACTAGTTGCCAGAGTTGTTACTCAGTGTGTGAATTTGTGGGGGGCTCCACACAAATTCTATTCATCACCCCAAAAGATAGTAAATGTAAAATGACTGTCACTGTTAATAATAAGTAATAGGTTATTCCTTATTTATGCAAGCCAACCTTATCTCAATTGCTCTGTTACAATTAGGAAAAAGAAGCCAGAGATATAGTCTATTTCCTAGTGGAAGCTTTAGATCCAGGAATCACCAGAAGTCAGTATTGTACCTTCCATAAACCCTCGCTTTATCTTGTTCATAAATATGAACAGGAGGAAGTAATTATTCCAACTTCTCTTTGGTACTTCTTCATCAGGTTGGTTGGGGATGTCTTGCTGGCCACTGGCTTTCTGTCCTACGAGGGACCGTTCAACCAGGAGTTCCGCACCCGTCTGCTGATGGACTGGAAGAAGGAGCTGAAGTCACGCAAGATCCCCTACAGCACCAACATCAACCTGATTGAGATGCTTGTTGACAATCCTACTGTGAGTCACAGGACATGATTGGAGTGATTCATAATGAAAGGCCTCACAACGTGCTGCTTCATATGGGCTAGGTTTTAACTTCATGGTCATCTTGCATATATTATCCTGCAACTGATCAGCTGTTCCCCTCTGGTGTCATTCTTTTACATGAATTCATTGTTGTTCACATACATGCACTAGAGACTTGAAGGTAAATTTCACATTTTCTACACTTCCAAACTGACAATCGCAAGTGTTCGTACCAAAGGAGAACCTTTTGGTGCATCTTGAAGATTTTCCTGTAATGCCCTGGATGCTCCATAATCCCTGGATAGACCCACAGATATCAACAGAATGTAGATTTATTCAGTCTAGTTTTTTATTAACCTGACACCCCAAAGAGGCTTGGTGGTGAGGCAAAAAATTATTGGACCCTTAAGAAGGTGATTGGATTTTTCTACCTGAACAAGCTCCCGAAAAAAGTTACAAGTTTTGTCAAAGTGTTAAATACGGCCATTTCACAATAGTGCGCCACCAAGAGTTTGCAACGTGTTGGCCAATCACAATGCGCGAAATAGGTCGACCCAATGTGCATTTGGAAAGGGTCCACAAATTTCGCGCGTTATGATTGGCCAACGCGTTGCAAACTCTTGGTGGCGTACTATTGTGAATCGCCCACATTCAACAGCGTTGAGTACGCAGTGCTTATAAAATTACAGTGGTGAAGTGTAAATGTTTCAAAAAGGCACTACAGCTCTCCAGTTGAGGCCCTCTGTCATCCGATTCATTTGTTGTCTTGTCCAGATATCCGAGTGGAATATGCAGGGTCTACCCAATGACGAGCTATCCATCCAGAACGGTATCATCGTGACCAAGGCTGCTCGATTCCCCTTGCTGATTGACCCCCAGGGGCAGGGCAAGATTTGGATCAAGAACCGAGAGGCAAAGAATGAAATGCAGGTCAGTCATTTTCATCCATCATCTTGCCAGCGAGTGACAGGCTGAAATGGATTCTATGTAGCTTATCCATGTGTTCATAGGTAAACAGCTTCAAGTTGGACATTTCGATCGAGTTAATCACAAGTCAATCATTTGTGAGGTCACATACCAGTTCATGAGAATAATGGCATAACACTGAAGGATCAAAGGAAATTTCTTTTCCTACAGTTTGGTGAAATAGCTTCCTGTGATAGCTACCAGCGAATTGACTGAAGACCAGATGACTAGTCATTGACTTGTGATAAGTGAATAGCTTCATAGCTTCATAACACTGAAGGATCAAAGGAAATTTCTTTTCCTACAGTTTGGTGAAATAGCTTCCTGTGATAGCTACCAGCGAATTGACTGAAGACCAGATGACTAGTCATTGACTTGTGATAAGTGAATAGCTTCATAGAATTCATGGCAGTTGACAGGTTCTAATGCAATTTTATTCTTATCTTGTGTGTCTCATTCTTTTAAACATGCTTTCTTTTCACACTCCCAGCTGACTTCCTTGAACCACAAGTACTTCCGGACCCATCTGGAGGATTCCCTGTCTCTCGGCCGACCACTGATGATCGAGGATATCGGGGAGGAGCTGGACCCTGCCTTGGATAATGTCCTGGAGAAGAATTTCATCAAGAGCGGCAGCACCTACAAGGTATGGCATGGCAGCAAGACTGGAAGTCTAAATTAAGATTTGTCTCTGGGGACGGGTGATCTTTATGAATATGTATTAAATAGAGCAATACTTCCGTGTTCATATTTTACACTGATTTTCACACCTGCCTGGGTTGGACCTACTGAAGTAAAAGCACTTCATTTATTCAGTGTTATCTCATTTTGCTTAGCGGAAATACTGTGAAGATCTATTTCTTGCTGTATAACCAAGGGTGTTTCCAGCGTGCAGCACACACTTTGCACTACCATATGTTCACAGCGAAGTCAGGAAAGCTAGAATGGTACTCTGGATCCCTCTCTTAGTCTGGGGTTTGCCTCTCCAACAGGTCAAAGTGGGCGACAAAGAGGTAGACGTGATGGACGGTTTCCGTCTGTACATCACTACCAAGCTTCCCAATCCTGCCTACACCCCGGAGGTCAGTGCCAAGACGTCTATCATTGACTTCACTGTGACCATGAAGGGCCTGGAGGATCAGCTGCTAGGCCGGGTCATCCTGACAGAGAAGAACGTAAGTCAGAATGCTCATCGAGGTTTTCTTCTGGGAGCAGGGGAGCCATCGTTTTCAAGTGTGAAAACACCTTTTCTTGCACCCCCCATTACATAAAAGCACTGTTTTGAGTTATGATAAATCTTTCCGAGCTTGCTGAAACTGATTCAAGCTTCTCTATTTTGGGGTTTGTGTATCAAATATTTTCTTCCAGTATTCAAGAAAAATGTTTGAAATGCAGAGGGCATATAGCATGAGCGTGGCTGTAATGTAGTGGATCAACAAAGATTTATAGTAAAGTCTATAGTAATGTCTGTTTCCTTTTCCATCAAGACACTTTTATCATATGATGTATACTCTTGCCTGTTCTTGTGCTTTGTTTCCTAGCAAACTATGTCACGATTCATTTTTTCACAATTTGCCTCAAAATGCGTAGAGTAAGTGCCTGGTGTCCTTCTCTCTGTGTAGGAACTGGAGGCAGAAAGGACTAAGTTGGTGGAAGATGTTACCAGTAACAAGCGTAAGATGAAGGAGCTTGAGGACAATCTCCTGTATCGCCTGACCAGCACCCAGGGATCTCTGGTGGACGACGAGTCCTTGATCAGTGTCTTGTCCAACACCAAGACCACTGCCGAGGAAGTCAGCCAGAAGCTGCAGGTGGCTGCAGAGACGGAAGTCAAGATCAACACAGCCAGAGAGGAGTTTAGACCAGGTTGGTACAGGAATGCTCGTCAGTCGTTTTAGTGTTACGGTTGGGAAGAGGGTTCCGAGATGTCAGGCCATGTCTAACCTAGACATAGCTGTAAAATTGAAATTCTCATGCGGCTTTATGTTCTCTGTGGCCAGACAGAATGTCACTCAACACAAGCTTTGTGTCACTAGAATCACTTTATTGTTCCAGGCTCTTAAATCCAATCAAACTCAAGGAGTAATCAATTTTTTTTATTTGGTGTTACCAGTGGCCAACAGAGGCAGTATTCTGTACTTCTTGATCTGCGAAATGAGCATGGTAAACGTCATGTACCAGACTTCCTTGAAGCAGTTCCTGGGTCTGTTTGACATGTCCATGGCAAAGTAAGTCTTTGTAGAAGACCGTGGTTTAAAGTCTACCTGACTAATCTTACTGGGAAAACTTTTGTTGAATATCTACATGTACACTGCTTATAGTGTACTTACTTGCAGTAATTAATTCCTCACTTAAATACATTAACTAGTTCAGTACTTACACCGTTTCTGCATAATAATTGCTCTAAAGTATTGAAAGTGTTTTGTAATTCCAAAAACTACATGTTTTGAATTTAGACAGCTAAGATCTTGGGGAAAAAAAAAATTGGACACTAAAGTCTCACTTTTTCTTCACAGCTCAACAAAGAGCCCCATCACAAGCAAGCGGATTGCCAACATCATTGATTACATGACCTTCGCAGTGTTTAAGTATGCAGCGAGGGGCTTGTATGAAAAAGACAAGTTGATGTTCACGATTTTGCTGACCCTCAAAGTTGACATGGTCAGCGGAAAAGTCAAACATGACGAGTTCAACACACTCATCAAAGGTACTCTTATTTCCTTCAAAAATACTCAACCCAAGCATCAAAATGATTCTCATCTGTACTGCAATATAGCAAGAACTAGTTTTATGATCGTTATTTTTACATCATCCCAAATTGCCCACACCTGCTTTCAAGAGTGACTTCATTTCAGTTTTGGCTGTGGACTTCTTGCTTTATGTTGGGCTTTATGTCTCAGTTTGTTAATCCTAGAATCAGGATTCGCATGTAATTGGTTTGTTGCAGAGCAGGGTTTGAAGTGCAGAGGATGCACCTTCAGGTTACTGGTTTGGGATTGGGATGGAAACAGAAAGGGAGTAAAAATGCCAAAGGAATTTGAGTCAATCAGTTTTGAGGGTTACTAATCTGTTTTGTCTGTGGCTACAGGTGGAGCTTCCCTGGACCTGAAGGCTTGCCCTCCCAAACCCAGCAAGTGGATTCTAGATATCACCTGGCTGAATCTGGTGGAACTGAGCAAACTCAAACATTTCAGTGACATTCTGAACCAGGTGAAAGCACTCATGCGTAAATAACTTAAAACACCTTTTTGACTCATGGACACGTGTCATGGATTCCTAATACATGTATTCTAACTGATGCAGAATTTGCTTAATGACTGTCTAATTTGCCCCAGGTAAACTCATTACAGCTTTTACATAAAAGATCCCACAAAATGAGCCTCAAGGACATTTTTTACTCTATTTTATGAATTGAAAAGCTTTCAACAAGCTCTGTATGTTAACCATCATTTGTTTTGACACTTTAATTAAAATTATTAAGCAGGAAAAAAATGAACAGTTATCTGTTGATATGTATTATACAGTATTTGTTGAAAGGCTTGTGACCTGTAACCCACATAGTTCTCAATAACATATAAATACCAACAGTCTGCCGTCGTATTCTCTCAACAAATAACTGGCTCTCTTTCCGCTCAACAAATCCGGGCCCACAACCAAAGTACTTGTGTGTAATTTTTACAGATACGTATTTTCACCACCACCCTCTCCGCATTTGAAATCTCAGATTTTGTTTCCAGCACTCATGTTGCACTGCTCCGTCCAACACACAGGTTGGCCGTAATGAGAAGCAATGGAAGCATTGGTTTGACAAGGAGGCTCCCGAGGATGAGACCATCCCAGACGGCTACCAGAATTCCCTGGACGTCTTTAGGAGACTGCTACTGGTGCGATCTTGGTGTCCTGACAGGACACTGTCACAGGCTAGGAAGTATATTGGTGAGTGGACTATCGAATGCAAAGCAGTTATACGTCAGGACCAGAATCCTGTCATCTTTCAGTTGAAGTATGAGAAGCGATGACTTGAGGTCACTGAGACCAGATTTTGCCGTGCCGTTACATGACCAAAATATGAGTTTCTGCTGTCAAGTCTTGCTTTAATTGACACCTGTGTGTCATATGGAGGCCAACTGAGACATACAACTGCTTCCACCTCTGTGAAGTAGAGGTAGGAGAAGCCCTAGAGTACACAAGGTGAAGTCTTCAGTCGTTTCTTCCTTACTTTTCATTTTCAGCAGCTTTTGTTCAAATCCTGTGAGGTTGTTTTTCTCCAAACTGCTGGAGGATTTTCTGACCTATCTATTCAAACCTAACAGGGGTCTTCAGCATTAGTTTGCTTTAGCTATTTTGAAAATCTTAAGATAAACGATTTGATACATTTTTTCCCTCTTCTTCCACAGTGGACTCCTTAGGTGAAAGGTATGCCGAGGGAGTCATCTTGGATTTGGAGACAACTTGGGAGGAGTCGGACATCCGCATCCCTCTCATCTGCTTCTTGTCCATGGGCAGTGACCCGACCAACATGATTGAGTCGCTAGCCAAGAAGAAAAAGATTGAGTGCCGTGCCATCTCCATGGGGCAAGGCCAGGAAGTGCACGCCCGGCGCCTGATGAGCCAGTCACAGGCTGGTGGTGGTTGGGTGCTGCTGCAGAACTGCCACTTGTCGCTGTCCTTCCTGGGTGAGGTCATGGACACGGTGGTGGAGACAGAAAACGTGCACGACACCTTCCGGCTCTGGATGACCACGGAGGTCCATCCCAGCTTCCCCATCAGCCTGCTGCAGGTGAGGTCCGGCAGAAGATGGCTAAGGTTGTGAAGGAAATCCAGGGCTTTCAACCTGACCTACTCAATGCAGACTTTGCAGCAAAAGAAACGAGGAGAAAAGGGGGGTGGTTTAACATCATAGGGGTTGCTTCCTCCATCAGATTGGTGTACCTCATGATTTTTGTTCTATTCTGTCTTTTCTTTCCGCTGTCTTCTTTATCCAATATAATATACCAAACACCCATAGACGGGCAGTTTAGGTCAGTCATGGTAAACATTTTTGAATCTTGTCCTTCAACATTTCCTTGAATCTCGTCCCTTACTAGATGTGTATCAAGTTCACCAATGAGCCTCCTCAGGGTGTGAAGGCCGGATTAAAACGAACCTATGCCGGCATTAGCCAGGACCAGCTGGATGTCTCCAACATGCCACAGTGGAAGCCCATGTTGTATGCTACCGCTGTACTTCACACAGTGGTGCAGGTCAGATTGAAGAATCTTACTTTCATTATAAAAGTGGAAAATCTGCTTATTTACTTAGCCCTCGAAATGCGTCAACACAGTTCAGAACCATCCATTTTATTTATTACAATTCAAAGAGCTCAACCATCTTGATTACTTTAGATAATAGTGAAACTTAAATTATGGATATTGTATATTTCTAAATAGTAATTATGCACCAGTATTGACAAATAAGGAATTACTTCGTTGTAAAGGCTTTCCAAGTCCTGGAAGCATTGGAAAGACCATCTGTGTCAGCTGATTTTTGAATTATTATATCTCACTTTATCATTTGAGAGAGTGATCAATATTTTGACAGGTGTATAACAAGTCGACAATTCAACTGAACGTCACAGTGACCTAAAACAGGGATTGTAATTTGTGCAGTTTGATTTGTTCAGGTTTCAGTTCATTTTGACTCAGCTTTGGCTTAATATCACATAAGCAACTCCTATGAAATTGTCTTCATCTTTTGCTGTCTGGAGATCAGGTTGAAGGCTTTCGTTTTGTCATCAGTATATTTTGCCTGTTTTCATCAGGAGAGACGGAAGTTTGGTCCTCTAGGTTGGAACATCCCTTACGAGTTCAACTCAGCCGATTTCACTGCCACTGTCCAGTTCATGCAGAACCACCTGGATGACATGGACATTAAGAAGGTAGTAAAAGTTGCTACTTTTAAGTGAAATTAACAAAGGCTTCAATAATGCCTTTGACAATAGGTTGTGTCATGAATTATGAATAAAGTTCCTAAGGGTTGGTTACAAAGTTGAAAGAAAACATGTAGCTCATACATGCTGTTTTTTCTGTGCATTTTCTCTTAATAAAGTACATGCACGTTGTATGTTTTCTCTAAGGGTGTGTCATGGTTGACTGTGCGCTACATGATTGGAGAGATCCAGTATGGAGGTCGTGTAACCGATGATTTCGACAAGCGTCTCCTGAACACCTTTGCGAGGGTAACTGAAGTGCCCAAGTGTTGCCCCAAAATTAAAGCATTATTGCGTCTTTTTGTGTCATGCTTTAAACAATTAATAGCAGCTTATAATTTTTATACTCATGAAAAATACATGAAAGACATCAGTCAGACAGTGTATAAAGCTACATGCTAGAGTAATGGTTGACTGTTACATGTATTTGTTCCATATACATGTATCTGAAAGAATAAAAAATACAAGGTAACCTACCTAAAGTACCATTATATAAAAAGCATTATGTGTTAAATTTACATACTGTAAGACGGCAACTGTTTTCAATTTATTTTGGTATTAGGTTTGGTTCAGCGAGCAGATGTTCACCACCAGCTTCTGTTTCTACAAGGGTTATCAAATTCCTAAGGGCACGCAGGTCCAGCATTATGTTGACTACATCAACAGCTTGCCCAACACAGACACTCCCGAAGTCTTTGGGCTTCATCCTAATGCTGACATCACGTGCGTACACTCGAGCGTTAAAAATTCATGCAGATGATGTAGGAAATGATGAAAATTGATAATTGGGAAAATTTAGTTTGCTCTTCTTGTTCGGTGCCTCTTCGGCATGGCCTGGACCCCTTGTCGTTTCTTGTCTCGGCACTGAGGTGTAGACACTGCTGAGGATTGTCACAGACGCAAGGATCATTTGAGCCTCGGATCCCGATTGAATTGGTCTGTAAATGTGAATTGTGAAAGAAAGTTTTGGAAGCACTGAAGGACTCCAAGCAATAGCACTTTGGAGTGAATTTTAAAATTAGTAAATTCTGATGATGTTATGGGGGTGTAACGTCCTGTCATTTGGACAGGTACACGTGGCATCCCCTTCAGAAATCTTCAGGGAAAAAAAGCTTTGTCCTGCTAACATCTGTGACTGAACCACTGAATCCCCGTGTACAAAGTAAGGTCCCTTCATATTTGACCCAAGTTACACCCTCAAGGTCTCTCTGTGAAATGCTCATCTGAATATTTCATCGCCTGTGCAGGTATCAGAGTAACACGGCTAGGGAGGTCCTCAGCACCATCCTCAGCATCCAACCCAAGGACAGCGGAGGAAGCGGAGGGGAGACCAGAGAGGTGGTGGTGCAGAGAATGGCTGACGACATGTTGGAGAAGCTACCTCAGGATTACATTCCATTTGAGGTAGTGTAACATGGATCACCTTGGTGGGCAGGCCCAATCATGGAAGAAGGCTTCACAGCGGAATCTCCAATGAAATTATTTCAAACCTTGCTGTTGGTATCTGCAGTGTATGAAACATTCATTGCCAGTAATGTGCATATAGACAGAATACATGTACGTTGCTGCATGTAAAAGATAAATGTGTGGGAATAAAACCACTAGCTCTAATGGCCTGCATAGTTGAAATCAGTAAGTCAACTGTTAGTAATATTTTATCAATCTGCAGATCGCTACTGTAGAATGCCCAAGAAAGAAATGTTGAAACCCTTTGGTTCTGTTCCTCGTATGTCCCAAGGATATATTTCATTCTCCAGTTCTAACCTTACAATGCCCAAATCATTGATATTCTGGGCAGATTTTGTTAACTCTGCACCGAGTTGGCTTAGACAGACATGCGGGATATCTCAAGCTTTGCTGGAGTGCCGATACCAAAAACTGTAGCCCTGCAGGAGCGAGGGTACATATTGCTCCACAAATGGCTACAAATCATTTTCCTCTCCACCTGAACTCTCCACCTTTTCTTTCTACCTGAACAGGTCAGAGAGCGGATTCAGAAGATGGGAGCCTTGCAGCCGATGAACATCTTCCTGAAGCAGGAGATAGATCGTATGCAGCGTGTTATTACGCTGGTCAGGAACACGCTGACGGACTTGAAGCTGGCTATTGATGGCACCATCATCATGAATGAAGTTAGTAATGCCTCATAGGGCACAATGAAAGTTGAAAAATGACGTCTCCTAAAAATACATGACTACAGACACTGAACCTCCTTATTGTAACACCACTTTAAAAATGAATTAGTGGCAAGAAAAATCTTTTTGGCTATAAGAGATTTTTTAAAAATTGTGCTGGCCGATATTTTAAGATGGTGTAGTAGACAGACAAGCATTATTTTTATGTGGCAAATAGAAAATTAACAACTTGGCTTTATGCCGTGATCATCACTGTCAACTGACACCAGTGCAGTGGGCTGTAAGAGTCCGTCAAACACACCTGCTCTGGGTTGCTTTCTTATCTCAGCTTGGGCGAGGACAGACTGCTTTGATGTTTGCTCTCTCAGAGTACCAAAAGGTGTTCACTGAAGTCTAACTTGATTCACTCTTCATTCCAACACAAACCTTGATACAAGACTTTCCAAGTTACCAAATGGTTCTGTGCTTCTCTTCACAGAACCTACGAGATGCTCTGGACTGCATGTACGATGCTCGCATCCCGCAATCCTGGAAGAAGATCTCTTGGGCATCGTCCACACTCGGCTTCTGGTTTTCAGAGTTGATCGAGCGTGACAGCCAGTTCCGCAGCTGGTGCTTCGATGGTCGGCCCAACACATTCTGGATGACTGGCTTCTTCAATCCTCAGGGATTCTTGACAGCGATGAGACAGGTCGGTTCTCCTTAGAATCTTATTACTTTGCATATTTCTTCCTTCATTGCATCTCCTTCATTGAATTTCTCCATTCTCACATCTAGCCTTGGCATCTGTAAAAGCATCAGTTTAAAAACTCAGAAATGTTCCTTCCCAAGGAAAGCTTCAAGACTTTCTGAAGAAAATTTCACGATACTCTTGAAAATGTTTCTCTTTGAAAATGCTGGTCTCAAAACTGTAACAGCAGCTTCCTGTCATTCAGAAAAATACCCCTTTTGGAAACTTGCAGGAAGTTACCCGCGCCCACAAAGGCTGGGCCTTGGACAGCGTCATCCTGCACAATGATGTCACCCGGTTCTTCAAGGATGACATCAGCCAGTCCCCGGCAGAGGGTGTCTACGTCAGTGGCCTCTTCCTGGAAGGTGCTTCCTGGGATCGCCGTGGCATCCGCCTCATCGAGCCCAAACCGAAAGTCCTCTTTGAGCCTCTGCCAGTCATACACATCTACGCTATTAACAGTACAGGAGGAAAGGACCCCAGGATGTACGAGTGTCCCATCTACAAGAAACCTGTGAGGACGGACTTAACATTCATCGCAACCGTTGACCTCAAGACAACCCAGAATCCTGATCACTGGATTCTGCGTGGTGTGGCATTACTCTGTGACATCAAGTAGAGCCCTCTTGTGTCAGGTGCTTTTTTGGGAGTAGTTAACATTTTGTGCTTTGAGGTAAAATGCAAAGGGGACAAAATGTTAACTTCCTCCAAAAAGCCCAAGCCATTTTTATCATTTCATATGCCTGGAGCACTTTTAATGCACTGTGTCTGCCATGTTACCACTGAAACATTTCAAAGCAATGATTTACATTATTTTTCTTTCAAACATTGCATTTTTTTAGAGTCAAGCATCACAGTCATTGTTAACAGAAAATTTAGTAGTTTGCCAAGACCTGCTGGAAAGCTTAGCATTGGCATTTTTTAGACAGAGCTGCCAAACCAGGACACTATCTCGTTTTGGTCAACCATTGAACACAAAAGATCTTATCCAAATGGAATTACGCCTGAACAAAATAGCTTCCATACCTCAACAAGGCTAATTCTGCTTCACTGCATGCACATCTTCATAACGAAAAAGAGTCTTGCTTGCTCACTTAATCAATCCATTTCTTTCAATAACTTAACATTTTACTAGCTTTAAATGCAGTTCGAGCAGAGTGAAATTAGTTTTATGAATTTTTCTCATCGTCTGAATTTTGAATATGAGGAAGTTGCTAAATATTTCTGACATAGTAAAAGTCTTGTCATAGTAATATGTATTGTAATTGTATATATTTAGAAATCTAGAACTTGACAATGCACCCCACTACCTAAGCATTTCTTGTTCTTTAGGTGTACAAGCTTTCTATTTTTCTATATTTTTATGATCAAAATCAACCAACGTAACATTCCACTTTGTGTGAATAAATGTAAACTGAAAAGAAGTAATTTGAGATTTTTGAAATTAATGGAATAAATCCGTCCATTCTTCTGCACTGTCATTTCTGAGCCACGTAGTTTGACACGGTATCATACCATTGTTTTTCACTGCATTTCTATTAACTGTACATGCTTAAATTAGTTATAACCAAACTCTTTCAAGCAAAGAAGCAAAGAAATATAAGTGTCCTACTTATAGTTTAAGTCAACTTTAACGAGCCCGTTCGGTATTTCAAAAAGCCAAGGTCTTTTGGGGACAAAGCACCCTTGTGAGTCAGCATAATGCTGGTACAACAGACTATCATGTGCGCGTGTAACTGTTCCCAAACAACCTCATATGTACTGGGCATGTGCTGTTGGAATACCAATCTGGTTCGTTCCCAGTCATGTAAGCTGCCAACTGTTTTATCACTTGATTCCGTCCCATATTCATATCACATACATGTACCATGGTTACACAGTCCCACGCACACTGCACTATACCAGCTCATATTCACCACAACGGACATCCCGTTTCTTTTTTTTTACCGGTTCATATGGCAGCTTCAGAATGGAAACTGGCCATTATGGTTTGAATGACTCAATTCAAACCAAGTTTTCTTTGTGAAGCTGAAGATGAACCGGTGAAAGAAGAGAGAAAATTCGGAGAGGGACTGCGGGACGTTGCAAGTCAAAGCTATACATGCAGAACATACACAAGTGACCAGACTACAGATAACAAATGATCTAAATACCTGCAGGTGTAGGTTTGAAGCTGCAGCTTTTGAGGACAAAATGGACTAAAGTTTTGTAACTTGAATTCTGCAAGGGAATGGTTGTAAATTGACATACTTGTGGATCCTTAATTCACTTTATTTTTAGCTGTTTTGGCGAAACAGCTCTTGGCTTTGTTCAAGTTTTTTTTCTTTTAAATTTTTTGTCTTTTGTTATAAAGTGCCTGGGGAAATTGGACAGATGACAAATTTCAAAGCTTTAACATTTCTAGGTAAAATATAAGAGGTGCTGGGCATTGGGGATCAAAAGTGTATTAGTAGTTCAGATCAGTTGTTACTGGAGGCTTTGAAGAGTTTTGTGATCAAGGAAAATGATATAACACACCTTCACATTGATTAATAATCTGACTGAATTCACATTATGACTGTACTGAATTACAGTTTCAATGAAGCACCTAATTGTGGGCTCTAATTAAATATATGTAATTATGTTGTGCATTGTCGTAATGTGGTTTTTGTGTGTGCTGTGAAAATTAATAGCTGAACTGAAAACAAAGTGCTTTATTTTTGAACAAAAGTAACTTAATTCTATGCACTGAGATTGCTTAGATGATAAGGTATACATGTAGATAGTTATTTCAAAAATAAAGGCACTGTTGAAAAATCCACTGTCTTTCTTTACCGAAAATACTTGTAGAAATAAATAGATCTGAATGAAGCTCCTTATGCAAATGTTTCAAGTCTAAACCTTATTTCTTTTTTTTTGAATTTAGAATGAAATCATGCTATTCTTCAATCAGTAGTTTCTCATGTTATTTGTGCAAGTTTTATATCAAAATCTGTCGAAGATATACAGGTGCTTTAGAAAATGTAGGGTGTTGTGTTACACGAGAAAAAATTGCCGTGGACATAAATATAGAACCAGTGTTTACAAAGTTTTTTCTTGCCTAGTGAACTTATGTATTGTTTCTTCTCTCCATACCAACTCCTTAAAGCATCCTTAGCAGTGAAATTCAATGTCAGTTTCACTCCATCATTTCAAGGATTTGGCCCAAGGAGTTTTTAAAACTCTCGTTTAAGGGATGACTCTGTACGTACTGTGTGTGAAATTATACGCTAGCACTCTGCAGTGTTTGTTGAATTCAATAAATTTTGTGATTTGATACAAAACAAACTGTCCACAATAGTTTGGCTCTTACTTCTTTCTTCAATTGATTTTTTGAACCATCCAATCAAAACACTCTACATGTAGTCCATGATTTCTGGATTTCATTACTGTCCTAAAGGCTACAAACCTGATAACTACTGTTACTTTAATTAAATAAACTCACATGTTTACTGTGGGTCCAGTTACTGCCTTAAGCCACTTTCTCCACAAAAAAGGGTCCACCCTCCCACCCACTTGTAAGGACCCCCCTCCAACCAGCCATCCATTTTAATCTTTACCCAGCTGCAAGTGAATGACAAAATTCAGTACTGCCAATTAAGTCTTGCGAATTGCTCAAATCATATTGCTTGTGAAGGTGTCTGTTTTGCATTTTTTTTTGTCCAGACAAACCCACCCTCTGTAGACCTATCCCTCCAACCATCCAACAGGGCATAGGCACATGGGCTGTGTGCCCAGACCAGTCATCATCAACATGAGTCTCCTCTTCCTGGGAACCCTGTTAATTACAGGCAATCAATTTAGACAAACAAGCAAGTTGCATATGTATAAATGTACATTTTGGATGCAACTACAAACAAAGACAAACCCAGTGCTTCAAATGGCTTTATGACTACTAGCTAGGCCAGTAGCAATCAAAAACCACCAATATGCCGACATGTTTTGAGCTTATCACCTGTAAAGTGAATATTTATGACAGCTGCGATGGTGAAATCGGTTGTCTGCAAAAACAATGCACTACCTCATGTTTAAGGTCCACCTCCCACCCACTTTTAAGGACCCCTCTGAATATCCAACCAAATAAGTCATACTGCCTAAACTGAATATCTCCTTAAGCCAAGTCTGGATTACATTTTAAAAAATCATGAAGTTGTGCTAGTTTTTGCATTTTTTCGGTCTACAGGCCCATCCATCCACCCTCTACAGACCTAAAGGTACATAATTTATCCAATCGTCCCCTGGGCAAAGGTACTTCTTATGTGCGTAGACCCATCAGCATCAACACACAACACTTCTCTTCCTGGGAACCCTGTCTTGAGAGAGAAATCTAAAATGCAAAAACTCTCACATTTCAATGGACAACTTCCTGGTCTGTGCTGAAATTCTCGCATTTCACCTACATATACCGACATACTCTTATTCAACGAGCTGCCAAACATAAATATGAAGCAGCTTTAAGCTAATTAATTGATACTATCTACATAACTGCTGTTGCTACTGTATTATGATTTGATTGCTTATTCCACTGTACAGAGACCTTGTAAAAAGGCTATAGCCTCATTCAGTCTGTTAACCATTGTTTAACCCATGTAGACAAATTTGGGCTCATGAACAGTGTACATTACCCTGCAGAAGACCTGGGTGATGGAGGAAGAACTGCATGTGCCTGCAATTATTGAGTAAGCTGTCAGGGACCAGTTATTCTATACCCTAGCTGGCACAATCCATCTGCCATAGCTAGGGGTTTCCTGATTTCAGTTGAACCTGCTGGCCTGCAAGAGAGTCTCATTCTAAAGACTACTGCAGAGTTGTCAGCCACTGGTCAGTGATCCATGCCATCTGGTCTTGATCTTGGTCCGATATTGCATGGTCATTTCTTTGCCCTGCAAGTTGTGTAGTCTGCGAAGATCTCCTTTGTACTGAGATGAAATCTTATCTTGACGTCTGTTTGGAATGTTTGGTCTCTATCTGATATTTGCATCTGATGTCCCTGTGGTTCCCCCTTTATCTTGATAACCTTAGCCTTGGTTTTCCTCTTCAGTTCTTCAATTATTTCCACCATTCCTCTACTTTTATGACCTGGGGATACAAAACTCTCTAATAGTTTGAATAAAGCACATATTAGCACTATTTAAGAGAGCCACAAAATTAATGTCAAATCAACACTGTGCCATCAACAACACTTCCAATTAATAAATAAAAATGCTTTACCCTGATATTAATAATGATCAGTGGTTACCATTCAACCTTCTGAAATGAACCATCAATGAATACTGGCCAGAAGTCTACATTCAGCAACAAAAGTCAGCTATAAAGGATTTTCATCTACATTAAAAATAGTCTTTTTGTTTAGGCGCATGTCAATTAACAATACACATTTTGTGAAAGTAAATCAGTAACTAAACTAGACGAAAAATGAAAATGTCTACATATAATTTCACCCTCCCAACTACCTATCAATATGGACAACTATTCCTAGGCCTATGCAGGGTATAGGCACGTCCTATAGTGTGCGTAGACCCATCAGCATCAACACATGACACTGCTCTTCCTGGGAACCCTGCTAACTATGAACAAACACAACACACGGACAAACAAACAGATATACATACAAACCCACTGGCTTCTATACATACTGTATCAAGGACATGAAAGAAGAGAACCCCCCCAAAAAATTATGACTGCAGGCTATACATATAGGTCTAGAGTAAGCCAGTCACATGTACCCAGAGGTGCTAGAATTTGTTTGAAACTCTCCAAATTATACATACATATAAAACAGTGGATCTGATAACATCTGTGTACAGATGTTAGGAACACTCAGTGAAACAATACGCCATTCAAAGTACACACTATGTACTGAACTGCAAGTAGCACTTAGCAAAGACAACATGTACAACATATCTTACACGTGAGGTAGAATAAAGGGTCCACCCTCCCACCCACTATTCAAGGACCCCCCTCCAACCAGCCATCCTTAATTCATTCAGTAATTCTTCATTCAGGAATTGCTTTACTTCAAATCATTCAGCCATTTTTTGGTATTTTTTGTGTTTATGCTTCTGTGAATTGCATGGGGTGTAGGCATACTGCATGCACACATATCAGCATTGAGAGACAAGACTGCTCTCTCTGACCTGGAAACCCTCTGAATTAACCAAAAAAAATTGAAAAATGGAACCGCCAGACAGTAGTACATTTTTATGTGGCTTTCATTTCCTTGCTTATAATCTTTGCCCTTTTGAATGCTTTCATATTGTCTATTCCTGGCTCTTCTGAATGAAAAATTGTTTCCTTTTAATGACTTTTATTGCTTCACATCATGTCACACAATCCTTTGATTACAAGAAAACACAAATGTATGAGCAAATGTAAGGTGCAGCTCCCAGCCTTCTCACTTGGACCCTTTCTGGCATAAACAACACTACACCCCTCCTTCTTGACAAGTCTGTTTTTCGTTGAGAATGAAAAGTCAGCCAAATGAAATAAATATGCTAACAATGCACTTGTAATTGGTCTTGAAATCATTAGCGCAATATTGCTCCAACATTTGAAAATTCCTGCTATGCCTATACACCTTCATGTACCTGCATGGCTATGATTTCCTAATGCAGGGTATAGGCACGTCTAATGTGCGTAGACCCATCAGCATCGACACACGACACTGCTCTTCCTGGGAACCCTGCTAAGTACGTACAAACAACCACACGGACAAACAGAGAGAATACAATCCCCAATTTGTTTGCTTTTGCCAGGCAGAAGACAAGCTGAGTCCTTTCAAAATATACTTTTAAAATATCCTACAGGTCTACAAGGCTTCCAATGTACATATGCAGGCCTATATGGTGAATAAAATGCTACAGCAGTGATATCTAAAATTTGATTACAATTTTCTGCAATAAGTTTTGTTACTTTTCATCCCTAATTCTTTACAGTGAAGTTGTAGTGATCAACTGGTGTCTGCTTTTGCATTTAAATTTCTAGGCCCACCCACCCACCCTCTGTAGACCTATCCCTCCAACCATCCAACAGGGTATAGGCACTTCTTATGTGCGTAGACCCATCAGCATCGACACACAACACTGCTCTTCCTGGGAACCCTGTCTCAAAACCTTTTTGAAAAATGCAAAATACAGACACATTTCTCCACACTAAAATTTAAAACCTCCAATTTTTTTCTCTATACTTTGTATTTTATGCGTTAACCAATTGGAATTGGATCACTGAAGTACAGATGCTAATTCACTGGTCCAAAACATCCCACCCACTTTAAAAACCTCCTGCAACTAACAATCCATAATTTTAAAACTACTCTTAACCATTTCATATTTCTCAACAACTTAATATTCTTAGCTGTTACTCTTCTATCTTAGGGTTTCAGTCTGCGACTGATTTTAATGGAGTTGAATTAAAACACTCTTAGTAGTCTGTACTCTTTTTGGTCATCATGATCGGATTTTGCTTGGTCGTTTGCTTGGTCGTTTCATTTCATCTTGTTATCATTGCAATGTCTTGATGAACTGTGATCTCCAGTTGATCTTGTATGGATTGTTTCCGTCTTGTCTCTAATTTTCAATTTTCTCTTTTTAACTCATAATGTTTTAATTCCACAAGTTTATGGTCACCCACACCAAACTCTTGGATAACTTGAATCTTTCCCCTTCTGCCAGTCACTATGACATCAGCAATGAATCACTAACGCAATAATGTCCTTTTTCCATGATAAAAGCTAAAACATCTTTCCCTGGTATGCTGCCTGCAGCTTTTGAAGCTATATCCCATCTGGCATAAATCACTTCCAACACCCCAATTCTTGAGAAGTCCGTATGCATTCCATTAGTTAAAATATGAAACTAAATAACTAAACTAAAATGAGCATAAAAACATATATTTCATGATTCCGGCATGAGAAATACAAGTAAAAGTACTGGTTCAGAAAATACACATCAATCAGTTTTCTGTGAAATCACAAAAGCAATAGCTAGTCCACAGTTAAAAATGCTGAGGCAAATCTACCAACCACACCCATCCATGTCACTATATTTTCCCTTAAGCAGGGTATAGGCACGTCTAATGTGCGTAGACCCATCAGCATCAACACACACACACACACACCGCTGTTCTTCCTGGGAACCCTGCTAATTGCAAACATAACACAGACAAGCAAACAGAGCATTCAACAAACAAACATTTGTTTGCTTCCTGTTGTAGAGACTACCAACTAAGTCCTTCCAAACAGTACTGTGGACAAACTACTTGCAATCACTTTCATGTCATTGAACTTCTATTAAGAAAATGTGGTCCACCCTCCCACCCACTTTAAGGACCCCCTCCAACCAGCCACCCATTTCAATTCACTGAACTTGCACCGGTCAATGATTTTTAACGCCATTAGAAAGAATTCAAGTCTCGTTTTTTTTCTACTTTTTTTTTCATTCGTACTTAAACCTTGTTCTTAAGAGCTTAATTTCCAATTTATTGATTTTTCTTTCCTTTCTTCAATCTGATTGACTTCTTGCTGCTATTAACGTTTTGATTTTTTTTAATACTTACACACTTTACACTGCATATTTACTTTTGTACTTTCAATTTTTTTTTCAAATTTACAAACTCGATTCTGATTTTGAACTTTAAATATTCCACCCACACCCTTGATAAGACAACTTTCTAGGAAGACTGCTTTTCTTTCACGTATTTTTTAAAACAACTCCCTTGATATGCTATTTTCTTATCCCTACTTGAACCCTGGCTGTTTTAAGAGCTTTCCAATATATTTATCTTTCCTTATATTCTGATCCCTTGATGTTTATTTCAGTACTGTTGAGTTTTTACTTGTATTCTGCTTTCTATATTTCTTCTAGAACAAATACATGTAAGCATGTACAAATTAAAATCAGATCTTGAACCTTAACTTTTCCACCCCATCACACTTTTTAGGTCAACCTCCTAGAAAGCTACCAGACATTAGCCCTACATTAAAGTCTTCAGTTGAGGAATACTTTGAAATAAAATAACTCCTATANTCATGAAATGTATGAAACTGCAAAAATAGATATGCCTTCTCAAACTGGAATTTAAAACCTCATCTTTCCTATTAACTGTGTTTAAAATTGAATCTTGTACATATATATTGTATAATGAAGTGCAAAAATGTTTAATTGAAGTCGAGAGGTTACTAAAGTATCTATATACACCCCACTACTTCAGTGATCCATTCTCCCACCCAATTTTAATTTAAATCATCCATCCTGTACACCTCTTAAAGTAACTGTGAAAATGTTTAATGACGTACAGATCAATATTCTTTGCTGTTACTCGTCTATCTAACAATTCTATTCTGTGATGAACTTTATGAAGTAGAACTACAGTAGACTTCGCACAGTCTGTGCTCCTGCTCCTTCTGGTCATCTTGATCTGGCTTGTTGTTTCCACTTATCTTGTCATCATCACCATTTCCTGATGAACCATAATCTTCACTTGATCCTGTCTGGAATGTCTGGCCTTATCTCTGTATTTAAGATCCCAAGCTTTTGCACATCTTGTTATTTTTAATTCCACGTTCTTTTTATCACCAACACACAAATCTTGAATAAACCGAATCTGAATCTTTACCCATTCGAGCATGAGGAGTCACTATGAAATCAGCAAAGAGCCATTCACACATGGATTCTCAGGAAAAGTTTCTGTAATAGTGATAGTTCTGCCTCCAAATTTCTACCCCTTCTACTACGGACCACTTACGTCACTACAACATCCTCTTCTTGAGGAGTCTGTATGCCACAACAGTGGAATATAGACTCCTCCCAAAAAAATCAATGTTTGATAATGAAAACAATGTTTAAAAGTGGCTGCTGAAATCAAACTAAAACTCATACATGTAACTTCAAATTTTTCTTGGCTCACATATTCTCAAAGTAATAGTTTATTTGCATATTCATCAAACGATTCATATTCTTTGTTGTTATACTCATCAACTGGTATCTTACAAAATCTGCATTCCATTAATGAATTTTATAAACTGAATTACAGTAGACCGTGTACACTCGACTCTTTGCTCCTTTTAAGCCCAATTGAAGGTGCCAATCTATTTCATGTATTTTAAAATTCATCAAACCACCACGCCAATCCCACCTAACTACATGTGTGCAATGGCTTAACTACCAGTTAAGGCCCTGAACAAGGTTATGAACTGGTCCATATTTGACAATGCCTAGATCAGTATCTGTCAGGTGCATGTAACTCTACCCACCACACCACTCCCACATGGCTCAACTGCTTATAGGGCTTAAACAAGGGGGTTAACTAAATGTTTGAAAAATGTACCTGTAAAGCTAGCCACCACACCTACTTCAACAGTCAATGGCTCAACTACAGTACCTAAGTCCCAATGAAGGTGCCTAACAAGTCCATGATTGATACTCTCCTGTATGTCCACCATCGCACCACAGCCACCTTGGCTCAGTCATCAATGGCTCAAGTTCAACTACCTTAGGTGCCAATAAAGATACCTGTAGCTACTGGTACATGTATACACTTTGAAACTGTGCAGTGAAATGTCAAAAGGGTTCAACTCCCTTCTGAATATGCCTAAACTGGTCCACATTTGAAAATGCCCAGATAGATCTATCACGTCACCACACCCACTTAACTATAGTTCTGTCAGTACTCCTAGGCCCAAATGCAGGGAATAGACATGTCAGGTATGCATAGACCCATCAGCATTGACACATGACACTGCTATTCCTGGGAACCCTTCTGAATACAAACAAGTTGAAACAACCAAATGGATGGAGTGTTAAACCAAGTTTTGTTTGCTTCGCCACAAAAATGCTGTGTCCTTTTAAACAGTGCTTTGAACAACGTATTTGTATGTTGCTGCACTTTTGTAGAGTAAAAGGGGTGGTCCACCCTCCCACTTACTTTTGAGGACCCCCTCCAACCTACCATCCATTTCAATTTTACTTAACTTAAACATAACTGGGCATGAAAATTTTAACTGCAATGCAAGAATAAACTTCAATTCTTTTCTTTCATATATTTATAAACAACTTTCTCATTCCCACTTGAACCACGTTCTCAAGAACTTTCAACTTAAGTTTTTTCTCCTTTATGCTGATTTTCTTTTACTTAAGTTTTCATTTTTTTACTTGTATCCTGCATTTTAGATGAAATTATGTAAACATAATTTCATCTGAACACACATATATACATAAACAAAATAAAATCAGACTTTGAACCTAAAATGTTCCACCCAACCACTCTTTTAAGGTGAACCTCTTAGAAAGCTAACAGACATTAGGCCTACGTGTACTTTAAAGTCTTCAGTGAAGGAATTAGCTTTAAAATCAAGTTACTTACCACCTGGTGTCTGTTTTTGCATTTTTTCGGTTTC